GATACATTCATACATATCTAATATGATATACATAGAGAGAAGAGAGAGCACTTGAATTCAAGTCATCAGATGCTGTGGAAGGACAGCACAGAGCAGGGTACGGAGTGGAGGGAGAGGTTCGAATACAACGGGTAGGAAAGCAGGAGGGAGACCGAGGGGGAGCACTGTGAGGGGCACAAGCAAAGAACCTCTCTCGGTCCATCTCTAGTCACTCTACGAACAGCAAAGTTCTCCAGCTCCAGAGTGGGATTTTGGCAATACACTAAAGCCCTTGTGTCTCTCCAGAATGATCCCAGTATCTCTCATTCCTCCTCTCTAAAACCATAATTTAACTTTCTGAGCAATCTCAGACCATACAACATCTGGGGGATGCTGTAGACATCTCACTATATAGTAATCACCATTCAATATTCTCCTGCTTTCTGGCAAGCATTTAATAGTTGAGAGCTATAACAATGCTTAGTAATCATGAAAATAATTGCATTGACAAAGCATACTGAACAATCATAACTGACAACAGGCGATGCCTTTTACTGGACCAACTGCATGGTTGGCATAGTATTAGACAAGCTTTTTGAATGCAGGGCAGAGAAGAATGCCCTGCATTCAAAAGTTTGTCTAAAACTATCCCAACCATGCAGTTGGTCCAATAAAAGATATCACCCACACAAATCTTTGCCTCATGCATATTTCCTCGACCATCAGGGTTATAACATCACTTCAGCACTACCATAAGTAACAGCACAGTTTTTTCAAGTTACATTTTGGGATTTAAGTAGGTTTTTATTTTAAATCATGTTCAGCTGCTTAGACTCTAATTCTGACTTCATTTTTGTATATCAGTGGAACTGCTGATGCATAAAGTTAAACTGCATGCATGTGTTTGTATAACAGGCATTTAACCTTCAAGATTTGCTAATCTGCTGCAGGCTTGTTGGTCATGAGCAAGAGTTAGCATGGTTTTAGTATCTCAGAGCATTCAATAACATCAGTATGCACCATGTGTGATGTGTTTTTTCCCTGGAATTTGTAACAATGTCTATATCTAAAGAAAAGGAATACTATGCAGAACACAAAAACTGGAATAAATATAACATGGTAATCAGATATGAAAAATGACATAACTGAGGATAGAAACTTCTAATGTCATCTTTCTCTGTGTCTACTTTAGACCTCATTGCTGTTGCTTGCAAGATGTTGCGCTGTTTATGCTGTTTATGCTGACAAATCTATTGTATGTTATCAGGCAATAGAAAAACAGCTAAAGACCTGTGGTTATAAGAGGGATGCAGATGTCTCAGTATTGTATCTTGCTGGACAGTAAGTACAATGTACAATGCTAATACAGAGGTCTTTAATATTTACTAACACCTGGTGGTATGGTGTGTGATAAGTTTTTGTATTATTGCGCCCATCAGATATTCTGCAAAAGTCATTGGTATACAAAACACATAATGAATGTAATAGTGATGTGCATGGACTAGACTTAAGAAAAGAAATAGTGAAGATGGGCTTGACATACATAGAAGGCAGGGTAAATTCACACATTTTTAGACTTAACTAAATCAGAGATGCATAGATTAAGCTTTTGTTAGTAGTAGCTTACATAGACTAATCATATTGAAAGCTAATTACCTCACTTATAGGTTTAAATTAGCTAGCCAGCAGTGGTTGGTATTCAGAGGCATAAAGATATCAATGGGAATTAGGTGCTTTTGAGAATCCTATTAGGTATCTTCTTGCATTTTTAGGTGTCCCAATGCCTTTACAAATCTGTGTCATCCCTTGATTTATACTCAAGAGACTCCACTGCTCCAGAAAGAAAACATATGATATAGGTGCTGGCAAAATTATTAAAATATGTAATTTAGAGATGCAATTTAGTTAATGTATCAGAAATGTGAGTCAATGAGAAAATAAAATTAGATTAGCATGAAATAATGAAAACAATACAAGATTCAAGTATGATTGTATAAAACCATATGATGCATGCAAAACTCAAGGAGAAATACAGTAGAACATGGATTATTTGTTCAATCCAGGTTTAATTTGTTTAATTTAATGTACAGTGGGTTGTTGAGCGAAGGATGAGCTGTCTAGTTATTTGCTGCAGGTTTTACTTCAAAGAGTTGGAGGACATCAGTGGTCCCATACAGCAGATAAGAGGAGCAGTGGCCTTTGGAATGAAAGCTGCAGCAATCAAATTGCAATAGAATGCTGTTTGCTGTGGCTGGATGCCTGTACTAAACCTTCAGTGGAACAAGCTTGCCAGATGAAGGTATTTAGGTTTTCAAGAATAGGCAGGATAAAGTTTCAAGGATAATGTTTCAAGAAGAGGTAGATAATCACCTAGCTAGTATGGTTTAGGAATGGCACATCTTCCATCTGTTCAGGTAGTTGGACTAGATGACCTTCAAGGTCCCTTTCAGCCCTATGATTCTATGATTTGAGAAAAAGTGTGTGATCATATAATTAAAGATTATCATAAAGCACATACAGAGACAGAATGAAGGCTTTTCCTGAAACCATAACATCTGCATTTCCTGATTTTGAAATGCTTAAATCTGTGAATTTATTCATCGTGTAGGAACTTCTGTTACAGAATAAAAAAAGAACAGATCAGATGGTACATACAGTAGTGATCCATTTTTCAGTGAAGCCATCTTGAAAAAGCTGATGTAAGTTGGTCTCTTTGATAAATGGAGAAAACAGAATTTCACAGTAAAGGGTGATTTTTTTTAATCCTGGTTTATGTAAATCTTGAAGCTCAGCCAATCTCAGTATCAGATCATGCCCCTTACTGTTGATTGACATGCATTTTGCTAGCTAAACTAAGGAGAAAATGAAAATTTAATTATTAAACTCATTCAGACTAGAGGAGATTAAATTATAGTTTTAAACTATTGCTATTAAAGGAACATAAAAAATTTACTTTTGGACACTGAAAGCTGTCATCGTAGGGAAATTGCTTAGCAGTAGGTAAGAAGAATGCTGGAGGCCATGAAAGATCAGTTAATAGAAGACATGCAAAGGTTGGAAGACATACAAAAAAAGGACAGACTCTCTTAAAATCTTGAATTAATCTCTGCCTGGGGCTAATTAAATGCCTTAGTACCAGGAAGAACAGAACAAGCTTGGAGATAGCTGAAACAATGATATTATTAGGGAGGGAGTAAAGGCAATTAAAATGCAGACTGTAAATTAAGAACAGAGTGAAGATGGCAAGATAATTTCTCTGCTAAGAGGCAGTATGAGGGAAACTTTAGTTTTGCAGACTGAGAAATAGTACAGGATTTTATTAATAAACAGTGTAAAAAAATTAAACAACAGCCCTCTAAAACAGATCAGGTCAACACAAAGGACCTGATTCTATAAACACTCTCATGTTTAAATGTATTCCTATCAGTAACGTAGGTACTTATGGTTGTGAAGTGAAGCACATGAATAAGTGTTTGCCAAATCATTGCCCATGGATTATTTTAAGGAAGCTGAAATCACCAGTTTAACAGAGGACCAGTGTTTTCTGTGTTGGACAATATAGGCTACAAGAGTAAAGGAGCATAAGTATATAAACCCACAGGCAAATAAATGGGGTTTAATCCAAGCACATTTATTATCCAAGCACAAAAAAAAGATTAGTTTCTTTAGGCCAGTGATGCTCTTCCTTTTAGCCTGTGGGCTGGAAGACTGGCTTGGGGCTGATATGTGAGCCTACTCTAGCCTAATATAGCGAACAGGGCCATGTTATTCAGCCCACAGGGCTCCCCACAGGTCTGGAAATTTGGCAGCAGGGGAGCAGCTTGGAGGAACCCCATAGGCAGAATGACATGGCTTCCTGGGCCAGGTCTGGCCTGTGAACCAGGGGTTGGCCCACTGGCTAAATGCAGCCCACAGAGCCATCACATTTGATCTGCATGGTTCCCCATGGGTCTAGAAATAATATGGCCAACCTCCCCTCTCCAAATAGCCAAACACCACTCCCTGTGCAGCTGGTTAGACCCAAGCTATGCCCCCCTGTTTCTGGATCAGGGCTGGGCCATGCCCCCTTCCCTCCCTATGGGGCTTGACTGGGGCCTGGCCATGCCCCAGCTCCCCTCCCCCCACCCCATAGGGCTGGGCCATGCCCCTTCCTTCCTGTTGGGGGCTGGACCATGCCCCCTTCTCCTATAGGGCCAGGTTGGGGCTTTGCCACCCCCCCTTCCCTTTTCACAGGGCCAGGTCAAGCTCCTTTCCCCTGCAGGCCTGCAGTGGGGCTATCCTGCCCCACATCCCCATGCAACCAGATGGTGCCTGCCATGTTCATCAGGGTGCCGAATCAAGTGTACCGTCTGGGTCCGGCCTGCGGACTGGGCATTGCCAATCTGGCCTGCTGGCCAAAAAGGTTGGGCAGCACTGCTTTAGGCTGATGATGTACTGTTAATCATTACTGATCCTATGGCTTCCTTACCAAACACTCAAGTCACTGGAGCAACGTATGAGTCAGTGAAAAATATTATTAAATTTATTAAGTCAATTTTCAAGATTCATCTATAATAATACATATATAGGAAATAAAAATCCTTTATTAAGGTTACTGAAACAAATATTAAAAGAATTACTGGGCATCTCAGCTTAAGTTATCTGGTTAGGAAAGCAAGAGTCTTTTGGTAATATCTTTTATTGAACCAAATAAGTAGTTGAGAGAGATGTTAAGCAAGCTTTCAGGCACAAAATACACTCCCTCATGTCTAACATCTCTCCCGAATACATAGCTTATCCAATAAAAGATACTGCCAAACAAATCTTGCTTCTTGCATGTTCCCTGGATCATCATAGCTACGACAACACTGCAACACTAGTTAGGAAAGGTTATTATTATTTATTACAATAGGACCAAAAAGCCCCATCTTATTAGATGAGTAATCAAAGAAGTCCACTCTACAAGGACTTAAGAGGCAGTCTGTGCCCTAGAGAGCTAACAAAGAGCTTAAAATGAGACCTAATAAGTGAGTGTAAGAAAATATAGAAATACTGGAGGGAAGAGAAAGTCATCACAATGTGTTAAAGCAGCTCAGTTGACTACATGACATATAACTGAAACCCCAATCCCTAAATGACAATTTGATTCAAAGAAGTAATATTTAATAGTAGAAATTCCAGGCTCTCTCAGGAGTACATCCATGCATTTGCTATGTATTCTTCCATGCAGTCTTCATTTATACTATGCTTGGAAGATCTATGCTATACCTTAAGTAACAATTTTCCCATTAATTTGATCTTTCCAAAATGTAAGATTTTTTCTATATATTTTAAGTGACATTTCTGGGAACAGTAAAGCAGCTGGGTCTCCCAACAGAAAAATATGTATTTTTTAAAGTCAGTTCTTTCAGGGAGAAAAGAACTCAGTTTAGAAAAAAACTGAGATTTGTTTCCTTTAAAATGAGTTTGTTCCCCTTTCTGCATTACTTCCGGTATGTGGGTATACTCTCAAGCACTGATCATATTCCCATCTCTGCCATCTTGTTCTGTTCTGTATGTCTCTCCCTGTTACAGTTTATGTAGAGTAATCAGAATCAAAGGCTTAACCTTAGGAGCAAATACTGCACCAATGCAAGATGCACTATTTCTATACTACTTGTTATTTTGCCTGATATCCCCAAAAGCCTGTCCAGCCTCTCCTTGAAAACCTACAGTAAAGGAGGTTCCATAACTTCCCTGGCTCTCATGTTACACTGTTCTGATAGTAAGGAAGTATTTTTTTTGCCCCTGAGATTTAATCTAAATCTAAAATTTTGCGTAAATCTACTTCGCTGCAGTTTAACCCATTTCTTCATGTCCTGCCCTCTGTGGCAAATGTTGAGGAGTTGCTCTAAAATGTTTGTATAGCATTATTTTACTAAAGATTAAACTATGATTGAGTAATATTAAAACAAGGTCACTTTCTTTTTTTCCCTTAGAGGACTAAAAGTCATCCCCACTCTGTCACGATTTCGGATGTTAAAGTATTTGTGGCTTAACAACAATAAGGTAATAAAACATGTTATTAGAATGAAGTTACCTAATCACCTCAGACTTTTGCTAATACATAATAGCATATACTACTCGAATAAACATTTTTAATTAAAAAAAATTATCTTTTCTTTGAAAAATTAATGGAATAAATATGATCAGAAACATATGCTTTGATATGCATGCTACAGTAGCAGTTGATTTTTTTTTAAGTGATAAAGAATTATATTTGGACATTTAATTCACCCAAAGGAGCAAGGGTTTTACAAATCAAAAGATTTTAGAAAAAATTAAGGCAGTTTCCATGCTGCGTGCTGCCCAGAATTAAGACAGTGAAAAAATTGTTTGTTAACACAGCCAAAGACTAGACCAGTGATCCTTAACCAGGGTACCTTGAATTCATTTCAAGGGTGCCATGGGGTATCACGCAATGTTATTGTTATTAGGTGTACAAACATGATTGTGAGTTATGTGGCCTGCTAGCTTCAGCAGGCAGATTTGCTCCTTGAGAATCTCCTCAGCTACTCCTAACTCAAACCCAATTTTGAAACTGAAGTGGACAAATAAGCAAACAAAAACCAAAACCTGATGTCCTATCTCAGACACTCAGAGAGGAAACCCTTTGTTTTCAGCCCCCAGCACAGCAGCATGGTCCCTCACTGTAGCAAGCTGTTCTAGTCACAGCTGGATCCTGCTTCCAAACTGTTCCCTCATAGTCCCTCTTTCTTCTTTCCTGTCTGGGTTTTTAAGTTCCTAGTGAGTCATTCCCTTATTCATAGCTCCCCACAGCTTGCAGCCACTCAACAGGGCTAGCTTCACCTTAAGGTGACTGACCACCCTGTTACAGTGATTCACAAAATAAACCCAGACACTTCTAATAGGAACTGTAGCAGGGCACTAAGGTGTCTGCTACCTGAAAAGCAGCAGAATGGGCTCAGGTGCTGGTTGCTAGGGGCAACCAGGAGGAGCTAAGGGCCCACACCTGGTGAGTCAGCTGACCAGAAGGGGCAGGGCTGACTACTATAAAACACACACTGGAGGCTGTAAGTGATCTTTTTCTGCTGGCAGCCAGGAAGAAGGAGTACTGCCTGACTAAGGAAAAGAGAAAAAGG